AGTCACATTATTGGCAACATTCTTGTCAAAATGAAATCATTTTCTTATATGCCTTGATTGATGAAATCATTGTCTTAAATTACTTTATTAGCTATATAAAATGACTAAAGAAACCATACATCTAGTAAATATTTACAGTGAAGTTAGTTAATGAATTATATAACATATTTACAAATATGTATAATAACTATACTTAATCACATTGCGAGTTATATATAAGAGCATTGTTTGATTATTGCCATGTCATTAATCACTATTATCATTTCATTGTTATTTGTCAATGTTCACTAGATGAATCATTATTTTATTCTTGATAAATACACGGTTCTTGTAGTACTAGTTAGTATGAATTAATACTCATTCATGAATGGTTAATATAAACAATAAAAAATTACAGTCTTTTATCATAGATAATATTGTTTCTTAAATTTTAATGTTAAGAATAGAACTTCCGTTTTAGAATGAACAAATAATCATAAATTCACACTACTATTTCTTACATATTGTCACAAACTTATAGTACAGATCATTTAATAGAGTATATATCTGTATAAATACTTACACCATATAAAGTCGTAAGAGTTTGTTACACTTAATCACAACGTATTAAGTACTAGTAACAATATTATTAATTCTTAGTTGGTTATATTGAGATACTGATTATAAATTCAATTATAAATTTTATTTACACACTTTCTATTCCGAAATGAATGTTCAATTTGAATTATCACTTATAGTATAATTTGTACTAAATTTTAAAATCAAAAGTATACAATTAATTACTTTGAAATCGAGAGAATACATCAACGTTACATTTAATTACTAAGCAAAATGTACTTGTTCACAAAAGTTTAAAATGTTTATGGGCAAAAACCTAAGTTTTAGGGTGTCATACTAGGATTTTTAAAACCTTAGGGAAGCTAGTAACAAAGTACCAAGTCATATATGAGTAAATGAATAAGTTTAGGGTGTCGCGATAGAATTTCTAAAATTTAAAAATAGTCATGTAAAAAGAATAAAAATTAAACAAAATTACCATAACATATAAGATGCTTTTAAGCGTCCCATATAGTTATTGTTGGGACACTTCAATGCGTCCCACTATTTATTGGGATGCTTTAGTTTTGAGACACATAAAAACTGTCTCATTAATATAATCGAATAGAACACTATCATGCAAGTGTCCCAATATAATTTATTGGGACATTTTAACTGAAAGTGTCCTAACAAGAGTGTCACATTAGGGAGTGTTTTGTTGTAGTGTAAGTTTTTCCTTGGTTCGAAAAGGATCACAACTTAAATCTTGGAAGAGATTATCAGATTTTGGAATCAAATAAAACTAGACTTTTGAGGTAGAGGATTATGAGGGAAAAAATGAAGGATTAAATGTTACTTCGGAAGGGAATTAGGGGGAATGGTGTAAATGTTACTTCAAAACACTTACCTTTTGATTAATAGTTGATGTGGAGTACATTAAAAGAGAATGTACACATCAAACCACTGGTTTTTTTTTTTTTTTGGACACAAAACCACTGGTTAAATCAGGGAAAATATCTACATGATTTGCCTACTTTTTTATATTGGACTCCTATTAGATATGTAGGCGAGGCTTTCTTTGTATAATTAGCTCCCGAAATCTTTCATTGAATCCAACTGGTTAGAAGCTCAAAATGTGTAGCTAGGTTTTAACTTTTTTGATATGAGAAGGACATTTTTTATTTTTTATTTTTTGTGTATTTATAGTTGCTTCCAGGAAAATCCACAAAAGCACCAATGCAGTTCGCAACGCTAATTCTTTTTGTTTAATTTCGTGATTACTTTATTTTTCTTTAATAGTATTTTTCGAGTTTTGCAAAATCCACTTTGTCTGTATGAGAATTTTATTCATTCTTGTATATCTAGTTACTATCACTAATGTTGTACTGTGGAAGCCTCACCTTGTTTGAGATCGACCTGGAAAAAAAAAAAAATCAGTCTTTATCAATGTACACAGGTGAGGTTTGATAACCCCTTTGTAGAAAAGGCTTTATAAGACATTAATTTGTACTAACACTGAACCTTGTTTATTTACATATATAAAATTTCAACTCATACTTCAACGTCTTTCTTCAATTCACCACAAGAATATTAATTACTATTAGTATCGGAATAATGCATGATGCATGCATGGATCATCCGCCCCGATGATATTAGTATGAGACATGGAGCAGACAATTCCACAATTAAACGCGTTAAACTCTGTTATTAAATAAAAAGAACTGGAACCATTTCCAAGACCACATAACCTTAAAAAATGTAAAAGTCATTATTATGAGATAGAAAAGTTTGGTCGCGTTGAGACACAAAACTAAAGTACTACCTTTTTTCCACTTGTGGGACTTCATTTGTAGCGCTTTTTCAAGTTTCTAACCACACTAAAATTCATCAAATTGGATAGTAAAATATGATCCTAAATCCCTAATGATGACCTCCCCCTTCAATATTATAAAGCTAAATAGCTAATTATCTCAATAATCGATAATCAAGAAAGAAATTAGCGGCTTAGTTTTTCGTCATTAGTAAAAAAAAACCTATTAGAAGTACAAACAACGGGAGAAACAAACGCTCTGACGTTATATTTAAAGATCCGAAGAGTACTGTTTGGATTTCATCATCAACCTAATTTGAGAATCCAAATTAATTGGCCCAAAAATATTAATAAATTGTTAGTCTAATTATCTGATTCAATCTCTAGCTAAATCGTACACTTTGTTTGTCATCAAGCATTGCAAATAAAGACCCCCCAAATTTGACCACATCCGTACCTAATGCACTGTTCATCTCTTGCTCCAACATCAGATTTCGAATTCAAGGGAAGTGGGCTGCTAGCTGAACTCATTATTTTTCATCATGTGTCAGCATGCTTTTTTCTCTCTCTTTTTTTTTTCCTCTTTTTTTTCTTCCCCCATCTTTTAAATGTCTAAAACTTCGTAAGCAAGTAATAAAATGCAACTAGCTAGCTAGTTCTTGATTCTTGGACACCCTTTGTGCTTTTCTTACTTGATGGCTACTTAAATTGATGACATAGACGAACTTGATAAAACTTATCTTTGGAAAGATGAGTGCATTGGCAATCATCATCAATTATCAAGATGTATGGATCGTTATATATCAAACTCAAAATATATACGTAAGCTGATATATTCAAAAAAATAATAAATAAAATAAAATAAAATGGTGTGGATACGATGGAGATGTCATATAACAAAAGGTTAGCAATTATACAATATTTGTGTAATACTATTCACTATAGCAACACGTTGTTGCATTTTTTGACAATTTTCTTTATTGGGCTTGAATGATCGTTACAATAGCTCATTTATAGCAACAATGTAGTAAGAAACTTGCTACTCATCACATTAAAGACTAATGACTTAAAAACTTTTTAACCCATCCGTGGCACATCATATTAGGAGGAGGAAAAACACAATCATTATGTTCTTTCTTACGACCTCTCAAAGATGATAAAGTCACGACTTCCATAATTCATTCATTGGAGTACATATGAATTAAAAAAAATCCCGCACCAATGGGGTATTTTATATTTATGATAGTAGTACAAAAACCCGGTTCCGCGCTCAATAATAATAATGTATACTACTTTGGAAGAGTGAATTATTTAGTACTACGCAAATCAATTTGAAAATGCATTTTGTACGTCATGTAAATTATTTTACACATCCAGCCGACTTCTTTTTATATTGAACTCAAGCGTGGTGCATAGTGTAATCGTCTGTGTACATTCATGCATTTGATCATCCCTCATAATGAGTGTTGTAAGTTATATAGCTCTTTCTTTTTGGGGCCGCACAATCGGAGATTTTGCCTTGCGGAATCATGGGGATTTTGAGATTTTAGTACATTGTTTTGATGTTTGGTTTGGAGTGTTGTTTTGATGAAAACATCCCCCCCTGTGGAACACTGTTTTACGTTCTTTGCAACAGTAATATAATAATAATATTGTAAGCCATGATTATTTGTGTTACCCAATCTCCAAGCCAAGTGTTCAGTCCCCCGGAGAGCCCATTGTATTTGTTGCTTAATCAACAGTTTGGAGCTCGGAATTATATATATTTAGTTTATTTCTGTCTACAATAACTAAGGATATATATATATATATATAGACAAATCTTTTCTGTTTTTTGAAAAAAAAATTTTAAAAATTAAAAATTGCATAATATGAGATGATTTTTGCATTCGATCCAGATGGAAAAACAGTAAACTACTTTTTAGGGGGAAGAAAAACTAAAACCTATGACTTATTTAGGGATCAAATTCTATAATTAATATTCTTGCTGATTCCCTACCTTTAACTACAGAATCAGCTACGTAGCAAAAACCAACTAACTGTGTGACACCACCAAACAAATAATACATTAGATCAGAAAATCCGATTCATCAACATCAAGTGGAATGCATGTGGATCTCCAAAAACGTCCAAATAAGTACAGAAAATTTTTTATTAATCATAGTTATCTTCCAGATGACATTTCTTCCACCACTTCGACACATGTTCTTCAATTCATTTTTTCACTCTTATTTTAACCCTCTTTTTTTGAGTCTCAACACAAAGCTGATTCAGCACTTCTAGTCTTCTAAAACACTAAGCAGGATTAATTTGAACTAAAAAAAAACAAAAAAACAAAAATCAAGGATAAGAGCCAGAATTAAAAACAAATCAAAAGAACCATTTTTTTGAAAGGCAAAAAAAATTGTAGGGTACAACAATAACATTTACTACTAATAAACTTCATGATAACGAGAGACTGAATTAAAAATAATTAAGCATTATCAGAAGTCTCTAAAAAGCCCCACATCATTAACAACATTAAACAATTTGTTTAGTTACACAATTATTTTATTTATAAAAAATAAAATTAAAAAGGTTATACCATGGGAATGACGAAGACAAATTAGCTCGATTAGAAGTAATAGTTTTCACATTTATAAATGCCGAAAACGTGATGCACTCCTTTGGTCAAATTTATATATCACCACGACTTCCTCTGCTTCCTCTATCTCTCTCTCTCTCTCTCAACCTCCTGCTCTGTTCTTTCTCTCTTCATCATTCATCAGCTCTTCTCCATTTCTATTATATCGATCCCATCAGAATACAAACTGAGACAGAATCTATGTTAGTCAAAGAATACTAGTAAAACCCTTTTCATTAAACAACGTTAAAGTTTTCAAAAAAATGGCGAAGGTTCATCCTGATCAGAGATTGGCAAGAATTGATAGTACGAGTAATACTGTTGATTCTAGATACATAGCATCAACCAGAGAAACATTTACTGTGTGGATGAAATCCCTCATCTTCCATGGAAATGGTTGCACGATTTTTAACTCCAATGGTGAAATCGTTTTCCGGGTTGATAATTACCAACAAAGAAGCTGCAATGAGGTTTTTCTCATGGACCTTAATGGTGATGTCCTGTTTTCTATCCAAAGAAAGGTACTTTAATTATGTTCTTTGTCTATCCGGTTGTTATGTATTTCATTTTCAGGATTCGGGAATCAGTTTTTTGTTTTCATTTTGGGTTTGTGCAGAAAATTAGAGTTTTGGAACGGTGGATTAAAGGCTACAAATGGAGTAATGAAACAGGGGATGATAAAATGGCCAGGCCATGGATTCAAGTAAGAAAATGCAGTAAAATTCTCGGTGGAAAAATGGGGTACCGGGTTGCGTTGGGGAGTGATAAAGCTGCCGGAATTGGCTACACCATTATTGGCTCCGACGATGGCAAATCGGAATTCAAGATTGTAGACAGTGACGGCCAGGTGGTTGCAGAGGTAATTACCTTTTTATTTTATTTTATTTTTTTTTCCTTTCTTTCTTCAGGTATAAATTTCTTTTAACAGTTCTAGTTTGTTTGATTAGAAAATAAGACAAAAAGAGGATTAAGTTAATGGACTTAAACGTTAAGGCTAACCTTAACTTTCAGTTTCCAACCAGATTGAACGAGATTACAGTAATTTGATGTTTTGACCTCAACCAAAAATTGTGTTCTGTTTTCTGGCCAAGTGTCACAATGAATTCATTTCCCTCCTTCACAAATTAGTGTCAAAAAAAAAAAAAAAAAAAAACAAACAAACATTGAGATGTTTCACACATATGTTATAACTATCACTTCCATTGGAAAAAATTTTCACCTTTTTTTTTTTTTTGTTCTAACTTCTAAGTGGAGAAAGTTGAAATATGATTAGGGAGTTAGGAAGTTGTCCCAAACAAACACCCCTTTCTCCCAACCAACATGTTGGCCTATCAATTACTACTTTCATTCTTTTTTTTCTCACTTACCACAAACGAAATCATAAAGGAGAAAAGGAACTAGTATTTGTTCTGTTTGTTAAATGAGGATTGGTGATGTTATTATTAACTTTTGAACTTTTTTAGGTGAGGCACATCAATGACCTATTTACTACTAGTAATTTGTACCCAAAACAAAACTAGAAAGGTCATTCTCAATAAACTCCCAATTAGTACAATTAGTAGCTAGCACCAACTAATAATGAAAAGGAGACCACATCATTATGACAAAAAAGAATTGGTGGGCAAAATGCACAATTTCAAATTCCAGTGTTTTTTTTTTTTCTTTCCGACAACATTAAATAGGGTTGCCTAAAATCAGCTGTGTTTGTCTGCAGGCAAAACAAAAGCGATCATCCACAGGTGTTTCCTACGGAGATGATGTATTGACCTTAATGGTGGAACCCCAAACCGATCAATTACTTATGGTTGCTCTCATGACAGTTCATGGCCTCATCCATCATAGATTATGATTGTGATTGATCATCATTCATCATCATTATCATAAATCCTCACTCATTCCGGCAATCAAGCTCTTGATCAAGATATATAGAACATTCATTTTGATGAATGAAAATTTTGTATGTATAGGAAATGAAGGCGGAAAAAAAAATTGTATAATCGGGGTTTTACTTGTACACACACATATTGCTCTGAGGAAAAAAAAACAAAAAAAAGCCCTAAAAGCCTAAAAGAGAAACTCATCAGTTGTACATATTGCTGAGTGATAAATTCAAATCAAAACCAAAAAAGAAGAAATTTCTTGATTTTCTAGTTGAGTTTGTTTGCTGAGATGAATTCAAACACATTCTCTTTTGCTTCCTATTTCTTTAAAAAAATTTATAAAAAAAAAAAATCAAGTCGGTATCTAATTATGTAGTAGGATATTGTGCTGTGATCATGAAAGATGAAACATAATTAGTGTACATGAGCTCGTTTTTTTTTGTCTGATAACGAAAATGAATTATTATCACACATCAGATCATGGATTGTCTGGACAACCTTCACAACTCAGTCTCTCAACATTAATCCAATTATATGCGGCGTTTCTCAGCTTATGTCGATCACCTTTCATTTTTTTGGAAATATTCTCAAATATTAATCTATCTATTTTAGCCGCCAACATAATAGTCATTAATTGCCATGAAAACAATCGGCCACGGCCGCAATATATATCATATATGCTTGTAATTGAAATGAACCTTTCAAATTTGTCGACACGATTATTCATGATCAGTAGATGCCACATATATAGTACTCAATAAGTGAATTGTTATAGTCATTTTTATGTTTTGTATAGTAAATTAGTAATTGTTAAAGGATTCAAGTTGTCGTTAATTAAGACTCATTTTGGTAACCTATTGTCTCTTGTGATACTTTTATGATCGTTAACTAACGAAAATTTGACAAGAAAAATAAACAAAACCTATTCGATATTACTAAGGTAAAAATACTACTAAGGTAGTTGACTTCAAATTCATACTTTAGCTCGATGATTTGGTTGAATCCCCTGATTTTGGAACCATAAGTTTTAACTAAAACAAGTTTTGTGCGGTTTATATATATATATATATATATATATATATATATATATCAGAGTTTTACAAGTTCCATCTCCCTTACTATAGAGAATAATTTGGATATTTTAGGTTTCCTGATAAACGAAGCAAGAAGTTGGGGGAGGATTACTAACGGTTGGTGACTACAATATTCTTGTAGGATCATTAGAGAATCAATTAGAAAGAAAAGGGTAGTTTAATATTGTTCACAACAAATTTTTTCTATACTCTATAGCCTTGTGATTTACTCCCTTTGTCCCAAAATTATTGTCCAGTTTGAAATTTCACTTTTAGTACAATTTGAACTAAAAATGAAAACTTAAACTGGACAATAATTATATGATGGAGGGAGTATTAATTTTGATGATTGACACGGCCATAAACAAAATCCTGTTCAAATAAAAACGCAAGCGGAAACCGTGCTGGTCAAAGTCGTTGATCGATCCATGCTCATTGTATATTTATGCACTCCAAGCTCAAGCTAATTAATAATTCAGGATTTCATTAGCTAAATTATCCTAATCTCTCTCTTTCTCTCATAAAAATAACATATTTTGTTAAATTAAAACAATATAATAATTTAACTGTTTTTTTAAAAACAGTTTATAGCTAGGTAACTTCCCCCTTTACGTATACTTTTTGATCATTATTTGTGTACACAATAATTAGGTTGAATATCTCAGATCCAAATATACCACGAGGGAAGCAAGCTTGATGGCCGGTAGGCGCCAAAATTGGACCACAAAATTTATTTATTTATTCATTTTTCAATAATTGGTTTTGCCCATATGAACTGAGAAATAAATATTGTGAATAATGTTGGGATCTTCTGATATCGATAAAAATGGCAGAATCTTTCGTCAGTACAACAAATCAATATATATATATATATATATATATATATTAATTAGCTGGTTTCCAACGTTAAAATTCAGTGATGATCATATTTGCTCGCATCATTTAGAAGAAAATGTGATTTTATTGGCTTATAAAATCATGTAGCAATTGTGACAATAAATCAACCACTATGATTTGTAGCGACTTATTATAAAAACTGCAACTTGGCCTTTAACTAACACCTAAAGTTTCAATTAGTTGATTTCGTTGACGCACGTATTGACATATACATCCATTCATCAACTATTACACAAGTGGGAGAATTAACCTTTATCTTCCACTCCAAGCACAAAAATACAACTTTTTCTCTGTTATTAATTCATTTCTCTCGAAAATTTATGCAGAAAAGGAAATTTATGGTTTTTAATTTTATCTTAATTTTTGTCGCTATATCATAATTTTGACAATGTGCATGAATAATGCTAGGAAATAAAATTTTATGAAGTGAATAAAATAAATAACTAACTGTTATAGTTTTACGTCGGTAATACACATGTGAACCTTAACTTTGATTACGCAATTCAATAAAAAAGATGCTAACCAACTGGTATATATTGGGCGTCTACTCAACATTTTTATGGAGATAAGATATTAAATTGGTATACTAGAAATCCATTTATTTGTAAATGGTTAATGACTCTATCATGAAAAAGATAGAGAAGCATCACCATATCGCGTTCCAAATATTTCTAATAGAAATGCACTTTTCGTACGATTTGAAAGGGAAATGAAATTTTTGTATAATAATGATGTAATAAGAAAATAAAAATCATCACCATCGAGCTTTACAAATCAAATAAGCTTTTTTTAGGATAAATTGCCTAATAATCTTTAGTTTAGAAGGGTGATACGTTTTAATGTTGAATTTCACTTATCGAACTCGTATTTTATTAAACTAAAACAATTAATATAATTAGTTGACTAATATATTTGGAATGAAGGGAGTATGCGGCTTTCCATCAAAAGTTTTTGTTCGAACTACTCAATTTTGACTAATTTGTGACTATTATGGCCAATAAATTTAGTTTTCGTACTAGATTTTGAAACTTTTTTAAGATGGGAATCAAAAGGGAATCACGGCTCCATAATAAGGGATCATATGTGTAATTTACAAAGGTATAATGCATCATCTTTACTAGTATGAGTAACTAGATAGACAAGACAAAGTGAAGGTGTTTACATCATCTTTATGGATAACCTTCTAAAAATACTCATGTGGTTGATTTGTTAATTTATTACTATTTGAAGAGATCAATATTCTGTTAATAACTTCACCTTTCTCTATCAAAAAGTTTTCAATTTATGCTACCTGATTGGTCCTTTGAAAAATAAACAGATAACTCATGTCTTTGTAGACTAACCCTTCTTTATATGGTACTTTTCAACCTTTGTTCACTATGCGCAAAAATGGACTCGCCGGGGGGGGGGGTGGGGTGTGTGATTTAATTATTGTAAAATTGCTATCACCCTGGCGGCAGCTTAGCTAACCATTTTAATTAGCAACTTCTGTGTTAAACTAATTGCGGTTAGACTTGGCTCCTAGTTTGCCAAGAACTCATCATACATTCACCATGTGCATAACTCAATACTTAATCAACCTTCTTGACAAAAAAAAAAATAATAATAAATGTCTTATAAAGAGGGTGGAGATTGACCGAGTGGGATGAATTCAGCAAAAATATAGAAACTCAGTGGAGAGATTGCTGAAGGCCACTAATTGAGACATCTATTGCGAGCAATTAAAATAAAATCTAGACCGGGTAAGATAATTAGAAGATGTGCGACCAACGTTGTTTAGGAGAGATAATGACAAATAAGTTGTATGTAAATTTGTCTGCCTATAATTACAAATAAATTAATAATCATGTAGACAGTTGAAGAGATAATATTTCTTACCTATGAGATCAACGTCTTGCTTGCGTTCTATTTTACAATTTTGTAATGTTAATCGTATCGGATAACATTTATAAGGTCATAGCCTGACGTTTCAAACCCTAGCTACCAATCTCCATATACATCTCTATGGTAACTCTTAACGCAGAAAACAAAGTTAGATATTATGGTCATCAATAACAAAACATGCTAAAGAATAAATCCCTTTTTTTTCTTTTTTCTTTTTTTTTGTAAGAGGAAGACTGCAATTAATTTTGCTCTATCAGTTCTTTTCGGATAAGTTTCATACTTTCATAGTACTCCTTCTGTCCCAAAATTATTATCCATTTTGAGATTCCACTTTTAGTAAAAAAATGAAAACTTAAACTGGACAATAATTATGGGATGGAGGGAGTACCTTAGAGAACCACATATGAATCCCGGCCGACGTGTATTAGGATCCACCATTTCCATAATATGTTCATTTAACCAGTTTCAGGTCACAGGGCATAATTTAACGCAAAAAATAGATCTAGCGACCCAACCCTAGTAATTATAGAACCCTTATATTCATAGGTCAACCTTAGTAATAAAACAAACCCTAATTATACTCACAACAAACCTCACTATCACCCTCTCTACCCACTCACACTCAGGCACCAGCCGACCATCATCGATCTTCACTATACCCTGTTAAATATATTCACAAAGCAATCCGTGTTTTCATTTTTATTTTTATTTTTTGTTTTTATTTATCGAATTCTGTTGTTTTTAAGGTATCCAATAAATTAAGAATAATATTTTTGAATGTCGAATATCAATTCAAATTTTAAGAAAAAAAAACTCAATCCACGTTCTGAAATATGCATTCATTAAGAAACAGAGTAACTTTTTACCTCATGTATGTGAAAATTCATTTGTCCCGGAATTCGCAAGTGTATAATATTGCGTACTAAACTTATTTATTTTTTAAGTGAATAATCTAGATTTGGTAGATTCGATATTTTGACTGATGGAGATATCTATGCCAACGAACATGTAAATGAACCAAAAATGGGTGGTTTAATTTTCTTTTAAAAAAATGTTTCTATGGATGGACCCAAAATGTCATGGACAATGGAGATTCTGAATATTCACTATCTTGTAAAAACGTATATGCATGCCTATTGGTTTGGAGGTAAATCGAGCCATTGTTTAATTCAAGTTGATGGTGGGTTTCCTGATTAAATTCCATTCATAAATTACATATGATGGGTTAACGTTGAGCACTAGGGGAGAAAACAAAAGGTAAAAACAAATAAAACAAGAACAGTAAATTTCTCTACTAAGTTTGAAGTACAAAACTTTACTAGCTAGTGCTTTTCATAAAAATATACTCCTTCAGTCTCAAAATTAATTATCGTCCAGTTTGATATTTTATTTTTAATATAAATTAAATTATATGTATTACTCGTTTTGTTTCATCAGCTATTATTTTTATTTTTTAAAAAAAGAACAAATATTTTTGTGTTGAAAAGAGTGCTATTTAATTTACCGATTTTCTTTGGGAGTCTTTCTGTTTCTCCTCCCATAAAATCAAGTAGATCTAATCACAATTCATCAACGTTAGAAAAACAGTTGTATGTGAGCGTTAGAACATTATGTAATTCCAGGTATAATACTCCCTCTATCTTAAATAATTATCCTATCTAGAATTTCATTATTAGTATAAATTAGTATATGTCCCGCGCTTTGTGCGGATTTGTCAATGTTGAAAATTTATCTTCCAAAAGAATTAATTAGATAATGTAGTTATTAATATTTCTTAAAACCGTAAATTTTTTTTGATTAATCAATTTTAGATCAAAATGAGAGCTATTGATATTATTTATGAGATGTATATTTGTAAGATTTGGCCAAAAATATTACAACAAAAATTTTGAAAAGTTGTATAATAAAAATTGTCACCACTAACTAATGTTATGTTTGGATTAAAAAATATATTAAAAAAATGCGTAAATTATGTCTAGATGCCTATGGCTTATTTATAGGCAAGGGGACTTTGGGGATTAGACACAATTAATCGTCCTTGAAAATATAAAATTGATAAAATTAAAAACAAAGTAGCACATAAATAAAACTTTAAGGACTAAAATGATAATAAGTTAAAAGTGATGCTTGATGGTCTCAATTAGTGACACTTGTCGATTATCTTTCTTTCCTTTAATATATATAATGACTGTACTAAAAATAATAAAAATTTAAACTAGATCATTATTTTTAAGACGAAGAGATTACATTATCTTTTTAATATCATTTAGTTAGCCAAAATGTGTAATTTGGCTAGGAAACAAGATAAGAGATTGTGTTAGCTCAGTGACATTCTTAGCAACTTTTTATAGTGATTGGCTTAATATAGGAGATTGTCTGTGGGAAATGATATTAATTAGTGAAATGTAGAGGAACGACTCCCGCAAATTTTTGCTATCATTTTTTGAAAAGGGTACAAATTAGGATTGCAATGTAAATATGTCACAAATTACATCACAGATCAAATTAAACATCCTCTTTATTCTTTATTGATTTCCCGGTGAACAATTTCAAGTAATTCCAAATATTTGCACAAATAGACTAGCATTTCAATCATGGGCGGAGCAAACAAAATTTCAATAATTCTCCACAAATGAGGTATGCTGATTCTGATTGGATTAAATAAATAGCCAATGAAAGATGCATCTCAACCAAAGTTTATCTCAATTCTTCAATTAATTAGCATTATTGTATAGGCCCCTATGATCAGTAATCTACAGCCTACAACATTTTTTTTAATTGCACTTTTCAACGCTTTTGGGAACAAACTACTTAAGAAGTTATAGTTAAGTACTCTTTTAAAAGTCATACCTGAAAGTAAAATGGCTGAAATATATGTCAAAACATCTTCATCTTCTTCCTCTAATAATTCTTCATATATTACATCAAGAAGGGAGTCATTCACCCTATGGATGAAATCCCTCATGTTTCATCAAAAGGGCTGTACGGTTTATGATTCAAATGGTAATCTTGTCTACCGCATTGACAATTATGGTCAAAAGTGCACAAGGGAAGTTGATCTCATGGATGTCGGTGGCAATGTGCTTTTCTCCATACAACAAATTAAGGTAACAAATCCAATAGGGATGAACAATTGAACTTTTCCAATACAAATTCGATTTCTTTGTTGATCAAGGATTTGGTGATAAACCTTTTTCTTTCAGAAAATTCCCTTTTTGGGACATTGGGATGTCTCAAAGTGGAATGGTAATGGTAAGGTGATGAAGAAGATACCAAGCTTTCAAGTCAAGAAATATGGCAAAGACCTTAATACTTATGTGGTTTCTTTGCTACATGATGGTGATGAGGCATGTTGTTATCTTATTCAAGGAGGAGCATCGGAAAAATCAGCCTTTCGGATATCCGACATTAAAGGCATACCTATTGCTGAGGTTTGTTTCACATTTTGTATATATGTATGTATATATTCTCCTGAAATTCTTTATAAATTCTTTGAGAGATCGGCTTATTCGATACGTGGCATCAAATTAAACCTGTCTTTTTGTACAATGAAGGAGTAATATCGTATATAACACACTCATAAAATCAATCTAAATGAGATTCGATCTCTGGACCTCTAAAAAGTCAGCGTATAATGAGACCATGTAAACAAACTCATAACCATTTTCGTTACTTTTATCAGCCGCACAATGTTGCTGCTGTTGACAACTCTATGTAAGAATCTCTCGAAATTAAATCAGCACAGAGTGTAAGATTGTGACTTATGGACTATACATAATGGCCTTAGATGATGGTATCATTAATTAATGTTCCCCGGAAGGGTAGACCATATTAGCTTAGATTTCAACTTTTCACTTCTGACTTTGAGAGATCATGGTCCATGCCTCATAAAGATAGTGCAAAGCGAATTTTAATAGATTTATATGCAGTAACTTGAAAAACCCTCTATAGTTCTATATTAATTGTTCATTTTGTTGTACTGTTAACAGAGGTTCGCGATTTTGCTAATACGAACGTGTATACAGGTGAAACAGAAGCAATCATCTTCGGGGGTTAATTTTGGTGAGGACGTCCTAAGTTTAGTTGTGGAACCTCAAGTTGATCATTCCTTGGTTATGGCACTTGTGACTGTCTATGAATTGATCAATCGTAAGTTATGATTGTGATCCCAATTCCCCCAATCAATTTTGTGCTTTTGTTGAAGCCTTTGTGTGTAGAGAGTTTTTATAAGCGACTTGTTTTTTTTTGTTTGGCCCCAAGGAAGAGGCGGCAACCAATTTCTTCACATATGCGAGAAAAGGCTTTTGTGTAATATACTACTATATAGTGTTTTTTCGTGACAATATCATTTGTACACATCAATTTACTTCCTCCATCTCAAAATTCATCATTGTTCTGATTGGTTAAATGATGATTGAAAAGTGGGGCTAATAAAGGTACGATTGGGAGATCTGTGTTAGAGCTGGCCATTCATTATCATTGGTTGATAGATGTAATCTCTTAGTTCGATTGTTTCGTACGAATACAAAAAAAAAAAAAAAAAAAAAAGGAAAAACAGATGGGCTCATTGTAATAATTGGACCAAACTGAGTTATGCAACAGTCAAACCTTATTAGATCAATGCTACCAGCCTAATATAATTGGTCCATCTAAGGGATTGGCTGGGAGATCAAATTTTCAGTTCTGCCAAAAATGCTCGAAGTGACTTCAGTTTTTTGCATTTTTTTGGTATTGCATTCATGTTTCTCAATCAACCACCAAAAAAAAAAAAAGAAGAAGAAAGAAATTCTATTGTGACATCCCCGTTATTCACAAAATGAGGTATTCGTATTAATTTGTATCTCAAAATTTGAGATACATTATTTTAATGCGTTTATGTATCATCGTCTTCATTTTCTTGGAGAACAAACAAATCAGATTTTCGTTCCAGATTTACGTTTCGCGAAATGAACAAATTCTATTAGCAGTAAGTAATCAGGGTACTTGCTTCAAATTCTTTTATTAGCATTGGTAATCTGTACACAATAGGGATGTATTTTGTCAGAATCGGATTTCTCTAAAGACAACAATAATTGCATCATTAACACCTTAATATTACAAATTACAAACAACATGAATGAATCAAAGAACACATTAACCTATTTAGCTACCAGAAACTACTTTGTAATTGGTATTATCAAGTCCTCCAAGTCAGATACTATATGCAAAAGCCCAAAAAGAATTACAATTTACAGATGATTTCTTATTTCCATTTTTTATCTTATTTCTGAACTCTTCTATCTAAACTCCTTCTGCATCACCAACAAACAGCAACGTGGTTCTCTTGTATCAGATAGTCAATTTTAAGGAGACTTTTTGGCATTCTTAATGTTGCGTAATCTCATAACAAGCTGTTGTCTTTCACCTTCCACCTCAGCAAACTTGAGGCTTATTTCGGAATATCTTTCTTGCATTTCCTTGAGTTCATCTTCCATTAATTTGTTCCTCTCCTTCAACATTGTCATTTCACTTAACATCTCATGAACTGAAGAATCCGGTGATTGGCGTTTCAACTCTTTCTGTGGCAACGTTTCGGGGCTGCTAAGAGTACAAGTTATTGAAAGATCAGAACAAGAACTTTGAAAATAGCAATCAGAGCAAATGATAAGTTTTAGTGATATGCAAGTAGGCTTAGGCTTACGAACCTTTCTATTGATGGAGCACCATTTTGTTCGGTTACACAAGACTTGGTGCTTTGATCTACAGGAGGGTGATCTTTGGAAAGTTGGGGAACCTACATAAGGAAATGAACAATCATGCCACTGCTGTTTCTTGATAGTAAGGAAATCTTTTAAGCATTTCATGGCAACAAATCTATCAGAACTTTTGAGCACACAAGTGGAATAGATAACACAGAAATTAACAAAAGGGTGTTCTAAAGACATATATCAAGACACTGATGAACTTGCAAAATAAGTACAAATGAAGTTTATTTCTTTGCATATAACAGATGGCCAAGTAAGTGGCTGACCTCATTGGAGTTTTCTTCACAAAATCTTGAGGTGTTTCTATTGAGGACTTCAAGCCTCAGTTCCAGTTCTTCAATTTTATTTTGAAGATCTTTCTCCTTCTCCAAGAATGAATTTGTTGAGTTTTCAAGAGCAGTCTCCTTCTGCTTTATTTGACCCTGTAGACAAAAGAGTTAGCAAACAAAATATCATACCCCAGTAGAGTATATCTTCAATATTAAGAATTGGCATTTTTTTAACCATGACAAACTTCCTGCAGACTTCATATTACAGTTTTTTATGTAGCAGCAATAGTCCCCTTATGGGGAAAATAGAAAAAAATTTAAAAAATAAAAAAAAGAAATAACTAATAATGATTCTCATTTACCTCGAGCAAGTTTATTTTCTCCTTCAAATTTGCCACCTCTTTGGAACTGCGAGGACTGTTTTGCAACTTGTTACTCCTTGGGGTTGCCTTCGTTAAATCAGAAACTGGTATCCTGTTGTTGCTTTCTTTGATCTTCTTCTCCATGCTGTGGCATGCATCTTCTTTCCTCTTTAGTTCACCTTTGCATTGAAGCAACTGCTTCCTTAAGTTCTCTTTCTCCAACTCATCCTCTGACAATGTTTTCATCAACTCTTCACATTTAACCCTGAGATTATCAACTTCCAACTGTAAAACTTTAGCTGTTGAGTCCTTTTCATCCTTCTCATACTGTAGGCTTTTCAGTTCCCCCAGTAAAGTTTGCTCCTTCTCCTTCAACAGAGCAACTCTACTTCTAAGTTCGGCTCTTTCAATCCTTGCTTGTTTCAATAGCTCTTCCATTCCATTGGATGACCTCCTCATTTCTTCTAACTCAATTGTCAAAGACTCCCTTTCTTTTGCTTGGATAGAATGGACCTTGTTTTCTGCTTTAAGCGTTTGAATCTCTTCTGTAAGTTGTAATTTGGCTTCTTCAGCCTGTTTTACTTGATTGTCGTGTTGCAGAGAAGAATGTTGAATCTCTGACTGCAACTCTTCAACATGATTTGACATTGATATCAACTTACTAGAGAGCTCATGTAATCTAGCCTCATAATTGTCCCTGACAAGCTGTAGCTCTTCAGAAGCTTTTTCAAGTTTATCTTCAAGATGGCGTTTCTGAAGCCGGAGCTCATTGGCTTCATTTAGTGCCTTGGCAGCAACACTTTCATTTGCCTCAAACGTCGAAGCCATTTGCGAAGAAAGTTTTTTAAATTCCTCCTGAAGTCGCTCCGCTGTACTAGCATTTTGCCACCTCATTTTTCTTAAGCTCTCCTCAGCTCGTATTGCTCTCTGTTCTTGCTCCACTTTGGCACTAGTAAGAGCTTCCATATCAGCTTCATACTCTAGTGCTTGTTTTTCCAGTGCCTCCTCCAGGGTCTTGACGTGGTCTTCAAGTTCACTTATAGTGATCGAAGAATCTGAATGTTCCTGTGCTTGCTCCCTGATCTCATTCTCCAAGCTCGTGACCTGAGTTTGAAGTTTATTTATGGTGATCAATGAAGCTGACGATTCATGGGACCGCTCCTTGACTTCATTCTCCAAGCTCCTGATATGAGCTTGAAGTTCACTTATGGTGATCAATGAGTTTGAAAATTCATCAGATTGCTGCTTGAGTTCATTCTCTAAACTCTTGACCTCACCTTCAAGTTCACTTATAATGTTTGAAGAATCCGCAAAATCTTTTGTCTTCTTTTTGAGATCAATCTCCAATTTCTCAATCTGTGATTCTAGCTCATGTAAGTTGCCAAAAGAGGATGTACATTCATACTGCATTTTCAGTTGCTCCTGCAATTGGCTCTGCTCCAATTTGTACGACATATCATGGTTTTCTTGCTTCAAGATCTCATAATCAAGGGCGAGCTGCTCCATCTGCATCTCTACCTCATCTTTTTCCCTCCTATAGATCTCTATCTCGCTCTGTAGATCCAGAATTTTCTGCTCAAGCAAATACACTTTCCTTTCATCACTGTGCTCCTTAACAATCTCTTCAAGTGCTCTTTGTTCATCATCATCATCTTGTTTACATTCATAGTTTGCCTCTCCCGACTCCTCAACAGTGCTCTCTGTTCCTGTCTTTTCAGCATGTTTCTGCATAAGATTTGATATCTCAGTGTTTTTCTGTTCCAACATCTCATCCAGGTCCCGAACGGCAAGAATTAATTCAGAGTTTGATTCCTGTGTCTTCTCAAGTTGGATCCGGAGATTATTATTTAGATCCTTCTCGTGATTCAATTCTTGACGGAGTTCAAGAATTAGAGTGTGCGGATCACCTCCCTCACTTTGCAACTTGTTTCTCTTTTTTGCCTCGTCTAAAGAGGTCTGCAAAGCCTTAAACTTTTCACACTCCTCTTTGAAGATGTCTCTTTCCTCTCTCAACTTATTTATCTCTCTTGAAAGATCTTGCCCTTTTCGGCTCTCTTTCACAATTTGTTTTCTGAGAGTTTGCAATTCCAACTCTGACATTTCTGCCTGCCTAGCCAAAGATGTAAGCTCACTTTTGAGCTTTTCTATAACAATATCTTGAACTTCTTGAGAACTCTCTCTTAGAATAGCTTCTCTAGGGGTACCTGACGAATCATCTGTACTTGCTTCAAGAGATAGACCTCCTAACCAGTCCCACGATTTCTGGCGCTCTTCATGGGTTGCTGCCAACAAATCAGAGGTTCGCCGCTGATGCACAGAGCCATTATTTACAGACATGGCTAAGCTTTCAGGACCTTGTTTGGTGTTGTCATTTCTCACTTGGATCTGAGTGTCAAGTCCCAAGCTGCTATCTGAACTTGAAGTTGTAACATCAGATCCACTAGATGCCCGGCGGTTTCCATTCATTTCAGCACTTTGGTTTATACTTTTACTGACCTCTGACTCCTGTTGGAACAATGAATTTAAGCAAGTGACTTCATCAGTCATTCTGGCCATGATAGTTAATAAAGTATTTCATGAAAATTTTAAGTAAACACATATTCATAATTTCGCATTTTTTTTAAGTAAAATCTCTTATGACAAAACTGAGTCAATTGACCAGCTGCACAGTTTTGGATATAACATTAAAAAGGAAGGCAAAACACCAAACAAGGTCCTGAAAGCTTACATCATTGACGTGTGGCTCGATGGTTTCCTCCAAATCACCATCGCTTAACTTTGCCCTTAAGCTCCTATCTTCAGAATTTATTTTAGCAGTTTTCTCAATTTCTTCAATCTCTCTAACAAAATCCAGAAAGAAAACATCAGTATTGGCATACATATCAGACTCTTCCCACCAAAAAATTCAAGAAATAAATTAACACTGCGAACATTAATTTACGTTGCATCAGTACCTTTGTTCTTCAGATTCAAAGACCCGCTGAATGGAAACCTATTTGACAAAAGAAAAAATTAGAGGAGCATTGATCTATCAGATTGCCAAATCCAACAGAATTATTTGTTTGGTCTCTCATTGTGCAAATGAAGATGCAAGCATAAACACAATAGAGGAGGTATATACTGACATGTAAGACAATGTCGGATTTCGAATTCTTGAGGGGAAGAGACACAGAAGAAATCTTTGTCGCCAATGCATAACAAGAAAGATCAAGGGAAGCCTCCCCAACAACTCCAGCTTTAGATGACCCCTAATAAAGCATCCAGAAAGAGAAACTCTCAAAAACAAGTCACTTGGAACTAAAGCAAAGTATTTCAGAAACATCTGACTTAAAAACATTGCATACCTTTCCCACGAGAAAGTGATAGAGTCGCTCATTGATCTTCCCCGTTTTTGGCTCCCGGACAAACTTCACAGTTTCGTGAACTGGAGTATCCCAATAACAACTTCCATCTCTAATTGTTGCTTTCTCTAATTTTGCAGATGGTTTTCCAGCATCAGCTGGTATCACTGATATCACTAATCCATCTCCTCCATCCTTTGAAACCTACAATTATTAACAAACAAATTTTCTTACTCTTGTTCCGGCATTTGCTCTCGAATACCAAAAAGGAACTAACCAAAACCGGAATCGTTCATGAACAAAAAAATTAAGCAAAAAAACAAAATTTTGCGAAGCTCGATAATGTTGTAACATCGGATGGAAATATAGAACACTCGGCTGAAATGCAGACTGCATAGCACAAGCAATTCTTACTTAAGTTCACATTTTACATAAAAATACTTCTTTGACCATCCCACCATTCACAAAATGCCAAAATGAAAAATCAGTTCCCAATGTACGAGTCTTTCCAAATATTCAGCTGTGAAGGGCAAAGGAACAAACGAAGACCCAGAAAAGGGGCCGATTGCTCCGTTTCCCCAATATCATTGCCTCTGATAATGGTGATTAATTCTCAGAAATTGCAATCTATGGCCGCCTTTAATCAGTAGAACATTCACACCAATTATTAAGACAACGGTAAAAATTGGAACATTTTCAATTCGCACCGATGAAAAAGAAGTACTAATAAATTTAGAGTACAGAAGCCGGTGAATTACCGGAGTTGCATGAAACTGCAACTTGAAAACAGCTTTGATCCTGTTCTTGTCGCTCCTCCATCTCGCCGACTTAAACATCTTCCTTTCCTTTCAGGATCAAAATGGCATCATCCCACCTGAGGAAAAACGATCCCAGTCGACGCCGGAGCTCACCCCTGAACTCACCGGAGCTCCGGCGAAACTCGCCGGAACACCACCATTCCAGTCAATGATCACCTCCAAACCCCCAATTCCAAAAACCCAGTTCGAATTTGACCGCAAACAGAACAATCAAGCGAAAATGGGAGTGGGAAACTGGCCACTTCCAGTGTCCACCGAGTTAAGTCGGTGATGAACACAATCACACAAATCAAAAATGGCGTCTTTATTCACACTGGTTTTGGACAATGAACACTCGTGAGAAAAATCACAAATGAGCTGTGAGCATAAAAACAATTGTGAAACGGATCTAAAATTGGGAGAGAGTGCCAATTTCGTGGGCAATTTTTGCTTCTCTCTCTCTGTCTCTCAATATCTGTGGGGGTGCAAGAAAGTAGCAGTGTACTAATGACTTGAGACTATACTATATAAATGTGCTGTCTTATTTTTATAATTGATGCCATTTTAACAAATAAGAAAAAAACAAAAAGTAGTAATTAAAAAAAAAACTAAAATAAATAATTCTGACTAAAAAGTGGAAAACTTCCTGGGGTTAATGTAAGATCTGGGATCAGATATTAGGTGGAATTTTAGTGGAAAATTCCAAAACGGAAAATAAAAATAAATATATTCACTACAGATTATTTTAATATTTTAAATTGTTTATTCAATTGGATCGTCTGACTCTGATCTGAGGTAAGAAAACACTGTGGTTTCCGACTACGTAACTGAATGACACTCTTACCCTTTTAAGGAAACTGTAGAATGAATGGTTTTAATAAAAGTACAATTTGCCTGGCCGATTCTTTGCAAGATTCCTATGAAATTTAATTCCAATTAGACAAAATTATTAGTCCCTTTCTCAACTCTCTATTTTTTTTTTCTGCAAAATCTCTCATCCATTGATCTGTACGTGGAAGATTTGGTTCGGCCGTGTCAGATTTCGTTTTGTCACAAGTTTAACTGATTTTTGATAACTCAAAAAAAATTGTACTGTGTGTTTAATTCATCGTATAATGTTAAGAATTAAAAGAACATGTGAACCTTATACTTTCTCCGTCCCATAATTATTGTTTAATTTAGATTTTCATTTTTAGTTCAAATTATACTAAAAATGAATTCTCAAACAAGACAATAATTTTGGGACAAATAAAATACATTATTACACCATCAGTGGAAAACTAGCCATAATGTATTATTCATTGGATACTGTAAATGGCGGGACACACCACGGAGGGGATTTTTTTTTTTTTTTTTGGTAGCCCTAAGCCAACAATTACGTATATTATCCCCCAAAAAGGTGCATTATGCAAATGTTCATTTTATTTTTCTTCCCCTTCGGGATTTATAATTTTGTTCATTTTGGTATGTTCCGGATACAGAATATGCATCGAAATAATTAATTATTAGTTTAGAAAGGCAAAAAAATAATTGAAGGCCTTTTCATGGAAGGAATGAAGATTTTATTTTGATGTGTCTTGTTATTTTTGTGTGTTTTTAATGAAGAAACACCTACCTAGAGAGCCACCATGGCCGCCCCCCCGCCCCAGCTGATTGCAGCCAATTTAGAACCTCCCAAAAACCTTTCTAATATCCCCCAACGAAAAGCTTGTCCCATCTATATGTCAAGTCGAATTTCCAGCCTATCTATGCCTTGTACTTTTTGGTCTAAGGTAACTCAAACGTCACCTTGAAAGTATTAACTTCGATTATCTAAAAACTAATCTTCTATAGTCGATCAATCTAAACATAACTAACTATTGCTGTTTTACTATGCCTCCATGATCACTGAGTTGTTGAATCAGTTAACAATGTGGAAAAAATATATAAAAAAAAAAATTGAATTAATGTTGTTCAATTACTGAATAGTATGAGTAAAGAGCGTATAAGTATCGAACAATTAGAGTGAGCTCGATTCTCATTTCATGGAAGTATATATGATTCTACCTACTAGGGCAACATGCGATAAATTTTGAAGGAGAAACAAATTTGTAAAGACAGCATTTTTCTTGGTTTTTTTTTTTTTTCTTGCAATGAAGCTTACAAGTCTAACACATAATGAAAAGCACTTCTAATATCCTTTTAATTACTTTTAATATATATGAGAAACTTGTACATAACTTCGAAAAGGAAATAAATATATATATATATATATAAAGTTCCTCTTTTATTAATTTTTTTTTCAAAAAAAAAAAAAACTAATAAGTCAGCTCTTTGATCTTTGAAGTATGAAGAAGAATTAAACACGCAAGAATATCAACGAAAATGAAAGGAAATTTTTTGTCCCATATGAGCGAGGGTATAAAAGTCAATGCGAAATATACAGTGTGATTAAAGGAAGTGCTCGGAAAACACATTTGCATACACGGAGATTTGTCAGGAAAAGGCGTACCCAAATTCGCCCAACGGTCAACTAATTTACACTTACGACTGTACATAACGTCATTATTAAAGGTATTAATAATTCAATTTAATCATTGATGATTAGTAATTTAATTTAATCAATTTGCGTTTCGTATATATTTATTTCATTACGAAAATGACGTTTCACCAATAAAAATACTCGTTTGTCCGATTAGTTTATCTGAACTTTTGCCTAACTCACTAACCACCCCGAATATTCATGTTTTGGGTTTAGGTTTAAGTTTTATATGTATTACGCTATTCCATAAACCAACTCCAGCTTACTACATCTGACATTATTCTAATTTTATATGTTTACTTCAATTTTGTGACAGCAGATTCATGAAAATAAAAAGAAAGGGGAAATCATTGCGTTATGTTATTGTAATTTAGTCGTGTGACTTTGTATGTTTTGTCAAACTTACGCCGAAAAAAATACTCTTTAATCTGTCTTTTTAAATTTTATCAGTCAGTTATTGTTGAACGTTTAACAGCTTATTTAATGTATTATATTCTTTTATTTCTTATATAAATTTGAAATAGTGATTACAGTATTTATTAAAATAAATTTACTTGATCACAAAATAATTTCCGGCTAGGAAGCTAAATTAGTCGGACAATTTTCGAGTAGAGTCCCCCCAAAATTTCCACTGCGCCATCAACCAAAATACAAATTCAGATCAATGCTCACATATAGTTACAAACAAATGTTGTTATATGGTAGAAGAGTAGAGACACTATAAGTTTGGATAATTGAAGTGATTAATTAGAGAGCATATATAATCCATACTGGAAAAGATAAAAATAGTGGTAGCTAAGTAGAGAGTATTAGCTGTGATGATCATAAATTATCCACAAGATAGAGTCTCCTTTAGTTGGTCCGTTCTTCAAAAATTCTCGTATAATAAAATTTAGACATTATATAAAAATGTTTAGTAAACGCAGTTTTTTAAATACAAAAATAAAAATTAAAAAAAAATCTACTAGTGTAATCATTAGATTTGATTAATTATCGATTGAGTTTGGACGAATTAATAAAGATCATGGAATGAGCTAAACAAATTAATAATACGTACAAAAAGCTTGTGATCATCTCCTAATTTGGATTAAAGAAATGGCATTTTCGCAGATATATGGCCTTGTCGGCCACCTTTGGCTAGTTAGTATAAGCTTATAATAACGATTTTCTTTAATTAAAAGAAACTAAACCAAGAGCTTGGTTGGAGGAAGCGGTTAGATTTTCAACAGTCCATATATTTTTAAATAAATACATACTGCTAATTGTTGGCCACCAAAGCTATTATAAAAAACAAAGTGGATGACCTTAGATGGAGAATTTCATTTCATATTGAATGGTTCACCAATGACAATGATAGCCTAGATCCACAGAACCAGATTTCTAGCTAAATATTAACAATTTTGTAGGGTAAATATGGGTCCAACAGGCTTTCTGGTTGCCTTTTATTCCAATTTTGGTAAGCACATAACCAAAAAAAAAAAAATGTTTTCATTCGCAAATACATTTACGAATAACTTGGATTTATGACCATATATAAATCGGTATTTTAAATAGAAAAGTACGGTTTACATTTTTATTTAAAAGATTATTTATAGGGTAAGATCGGTAAAAAAAAACATCGATAATAAGTTAACTCAAATTGATTATTCCTTCATGGAAGCAAACTCATTCTTTAAGATGTACAAACATCGTCTGGCGAAAAATATTTGGTAACGAAGCCATTAAAAAAAATATTGTTACATACTACTCTTTCCGTCCCATAATTATTATCCAGTTTGGGTTTTCATTTCTAGTTCAAATTGTACTCCTTCCGTCCCATAATTATTATCCAGTTTGAATTTTCATTTCTAATTCAAATTGTCAAATTGGACAATAATTTTGGGACAGAAAGAGTAATAAAAATGAAATCTCAAACTAGACAATAATTTTGGGACGGAGGGAGTAGAACAAGTGGCACTGTTTGAGGATGAACAACAGAAAGCCCCCAACAGCCAGGAAGCTTGCCGGAGAGGGCAATGTCAAATTAAGCAAAGTACTGTAGTATATTAGGAGGAGGTGGTGGCGGGCGGTGGTGCCTGGTGGCGGCTGGTGGTTCCAGAAAAATTTTCAAAAACATGTCTTGGCTTTAAAGCCGGTCATGGGCTGCGCGTGAGGTTTTTGATATCTTCACCACCAACTTCTATATATCTATCTAATCTAACACAGTGCTAAGCTATCTTGTTGAAAACCGCCACCCCACGTGAGCTCTTTCCGCCATGTGTTTCCCCTCTGAGAGCCACCAAATTTATTGAAACTCTACCAGCTGATCATCCTAAAATTAACCCAGAAGCAAAATGAACAATATTATTTTCTACTTAGGGGAAAAAAAAAAAAAAAACTGTCCTAAACTCCTCCTCATTATACGTACCTTTCATGTATTGAAATCTTAACTGCCCCCTTAAGAAGGGCTAAAAAAGTGTTACATGATTGACCAATTTTTTTTCTTTTGGTGGAAGAGAGGGACCAATCGGTTTTTGTTTTTGTGATGAAGAAAAAGGTTGTCACATTCAACTACCATTTCCAATATAATGCTTGTTGGATCCCTATGGAAATTAACCAAATCCCACATGGTCGGACCACCCCCAAATCTTGCTTCTCCTACTTTTACATAGACAATTTCATGTTTCTCATTGCCTTTTTAATTTTTATCGTAGAAGAAATCTCCTATTACAGGGATAGTGTTATGAAATTACTGTGTTTCATATATGTTGTGAGTATATATATCGATCAAATTCGTCTAAAAATAACAGTCATATTTTCACGAAAGAAATTAATATTACATTCTTTTTGTTGCTATATTAAAATAACATGTCTAACTTACAAATGATCGTTAAAAAAAAATTACTTTCTCAATTATTGAATGATTGTCTTGATAGTTAACGGAAAACGTAATTAGGATTGGTTGGAGTTCTTTGTTTCTGAAAATGAATTCAAATTGAGTATCAACAATCAAAACACCTAAAGATTTCACATGAAGAGAATGAGGGTTGA